ATAGATTGTACTTAAGATGATGAAGAATCACCCTAAAAATGCTATATTACTAATAACATGGTCCATTCAAGTACGAGCTACTATCTAATAAGACAGAATATTTTAATGTACATTAACTAATGCTTGATATTTGGGTAACAACATGATGCTGGCAACGTACTTTACCAAACTTTTGAGTCCAAAAACATAACCCTATTCTTTATGAAACTTGGTTTAGTTTGTTTCAAGTTACATAAAGTTAATTTTACACAAATTGTCTTCGAGTTATTAAATGTATTAAATCAAAGGGTCTTGTATCGACAAGTAGTTTATACATTAAAAAAATATTTTTAATGTCTTATTCATTTGTCTGAATTTTATTTTATTATATATTTTCTTTTCATTTAGTGAATATATTTATTTTTTTGGCTTAATCACTGTCATATGCCCTCGCTAATTATCTTGGAAAAAATATCAATTTTTTCAGTGTAAAAAACAAATTACATCATAGTAAGTATCATATTTTTTGAAATACAGAGATAATTTTTTTAATCGAAAAAATTGGAGAACGGTCCATAATAATATGGGTTGAACTTCCATAGAAAGAGAACTGCAACAATTAAGGTGGATTGGCTTTGAATTATGGGCTTATTGGATGGGTCAGAAATTAAGTAATCGAAGGCCCACAATTCACTAATGGACCCCGTTCATTTCTTAGTTGAGTGGACCAAATTGTATACATATTTGGACAAAAGAAGTTGGACCCAGATGTGCATATAATTTTTCCGTTAATTTCAATAACTGTGCAATTCCGTTATGTCATATTATCCTTCTTTTAACATAATATATAAAATTCTAAAAATTAGTCATTAATTGAATAAATTCTAATGCCAATGTTTCATTATCTTAAATATCTTTATCAAAAGAGTTAGAATGCACGTAAATGTGAGTTAATTAAGTATTCATGTTAAATATTAATAAAATAAAATATTATTGAATTAATCTATTCTTGACCGATAAACATTGTAGACAAAATTATTATCCTTTTTCTATTATCTGTTCTCACTCGTTTTTAAAAAATATTTCTCTCTTTTTCCCTCCTAAGAAATATATGTAGTTAAAATATTATGTAAAAATACACTAATTTTTAATTAATTAAATAATAATAATAATAATGACGACGACGACAGACGTTAAATATATAAATAAGTTACAAATAATTTTGTGTATCTATTCACATTATATAATGTTTTCTTTTATTTTTGAGACCAAAACCAAATCAGTGACAGAGATTACGTTTTATTTATTTATTTTTGTTTTAATATTGAGCCGGAGGATTAGTTCTTATAGTCTTCCATAGGGCACCTCTGAATTAGAAGTCTGAATTTGATTACTCTTTTCTCATTAAAAAAAATAAAAACTTTATTAATTAATTACTTACATCACTACTTTTTAGACGGCTATTTAATTTTTGTTACTCCTTTATTCAAAATATAGAAATACTAATAAGAACTGTGATATATATAAGTGAATAATGAGAATAAGAACTCAGCGCAAATTTCACGGTTAAGTGATGAGGATATTTTCTTGCATCTGTGTTTATATTTTCATGGAAAAGGTTATAAACTATATATGTTCTCTTGTGAAAATTCATTCGTCACTGATATAGTTAATTTCTTGAAGGCAAGTTACCATGCTGAGCTAATACCAGTATGAAAATTCTGCTACTAGACTTGAAGGATTTCATAGAGTAATGGTCTACAATTATGACGCATAGGGATGAACTTATTGTAATTAAAAATTAGCTAAAATTTTCAATCACCACTTAATTGTACTTATATTTGTAAATTCTTACACTACAGATGTGTTTATAAGTGCTTGTACAAGCTTACCATGTTTTTAACTAACCAGAAGTTTTATTTTGTCGAAACTCTATTTATCAATGTGTGTCATCATATATGGCAAATAAAATGAGATGCTGTGGCAATATTTGTACATACGATATGATCGATACAATATATTTCAAATGGAGTCCCACTTGAAATGAAAGAAAGCACCAACCCAATGTTGGGGACCCTTTGCATGGATTTTGTTTTATTTCTTTTCTTTCTTTCAGAGACCTGATTTTGCACCATGATTAAATGAAACCTACACAGATAAAAAGAAAGGAAAGATAATTGAACAGGGAAAGTTGATATGATTTCATGTCCCCAGTGGTTGAAGAAAGAAGGCATATATTACTATGTCTAAAAGTGATGGATGAGCATGTTGATGGGAGCGTTAATGAAGTTAATTATTTGCATACCCGTGACCTATTACTAGAAAAGAAACTCGTGTTGCATACCGATATTGACATGGATTTTAAAATCATATATTGCGTGTGTATCCTATCAGCTTTTGTCTATGTCACCCAATTCACCTTCTTCAGTTTTTCACGTGAAACCTTTTTTCAGGAAAATTCTGTGCAAGACATGGACACCTTTCTTAATAAGATTTGAGATTTTAGTTTGACACGCTGTGAGAAACTCATTCGTTATACTCGTCTTTAGGAAAGTTGTTCTTCCAGAAACTATAGGTCCTTTCTATTGATTGTAAACATGGACTAGCTACAAACTTTGTTGAATTTTCCAACAACTGGGGTGATACCGAAGGAGGGGAAGAGCATGAAAAGTGACAAGATGGTAGCCAAAGATATGAAAATTCAGATTTCATTTGGAAATAATGTCGTGCCAGGTGCAGAATGGAGGCACAAATGAAGCTTGCCAGGCTGCCAAGTATGGCTAAAACCTTTGCCTTTGCTCTCCAACCACATATGCTGCTGGTTCATTTGGTGTAGGCTTCTCCAAAACCCCCTAACCAGGATCCTTGGTTGATGCACAAGTGGTGATACCAACAAGGATTTGATAATTTAGATGCATTGTTTTTCTGATGAACTGAATGTTAATTATTAGAAAAAATCTATGTTATGATCTACATTTAAGTGTTTGAGTACTGTTACTTGATAAATTTTCCCTCTCTTCTCTTTCTCAGGGTTTCAAAAGTAAAAAAATAAAAAAACTGCATCAAAACCCTTAGATTTCTCTCGTTACCGTGACAACTCTCTTATTATTAAGCCATTGTAGTTATTTCTGTCTTCTGCATTCTAATGATATCTTATGAACATTAATGTAGCATCTTCATTGCGTTATCGATGATCACTATACTAGTATGCAGCATCTTGTGTAAAGCAATTTGTCAAGTGGACTTGGAATGCGTGTGAGAATCTGTTATAAGGTAATAGGTGGGGATTATTCCAAAAATTCATAGGCGGCTATGCATCGTTAGAAAGTATCACTTAGTGAGCTTAAAGGTTGAAAATGAAACTAGACACATTCTTTCTGTAAATCAATGTCACATACTCGTGTGGTTTCAGAAGAATTCCTGCAAATTGTACCCTGATGACGAAATTTACTATATAATTAGGGTTTAAGTTGTAACCACTGGGAAGGTACAATGTTGTGAAGCATCAAAACAAAGATTCACATCACGTCATAATAAATTCTAATGATACAATGTTTTGGTGACATGCATTTTCATAAATCAGTAATTTCGTATAATAATTTGATCTTCAACTTTAATTTACCAACGAGAAACAGTGTACAGCTCAGGAGAGTGAATCCTTTAGGAAATAGGAGATTGCATCATGGTGGTTGATGTGAAGACTTCATTGAAAAATAATTGAATTGTAATTAGAGCCACTGAAGAAGGAAAAATCATAAGGGAATCCTAAGTAATTGACCAAATGAATAGTGCAAGATGATGACCATGATTGTAGCAATGATGATAATGACAGTCACTGCCAGTACGCAACTATTTGATTCTTTCTTGTTATGCTTTAGGATTTAAAGGAACATGAAAGTATTCATATTTTGTAGTTATAGCCACCCAAACAGTGAAAGAGGTCTGTTTCAGTTTGAGATTGGATTTGGCTACAAAGCAGGGTATATGGGACATGGTTCAGTCCAGCGATTGTACAAAGCCAAGTTGTGGATAATAATTTAAAAACTCACTGCAAGAGAGAGTGACAATGACCTTCATCAGTGGATCTATGCCTTCTTAAAAGTCAACTGATCACCTATACAATTATGAGAAATTTTAAGGAAAGTCAAGGAATTAGGAGTTCTGAGCCTCAATAATTGTTAGACAAATTTGTTCAGTTGCATTTAGAACATTTTTGCTTTAAATGGAGCACCCATATTTGCCCTTATGTTGATTTTTGCTTAGGATAGTTAATACAGATACATCAAAGGTTTATCAAAGTGTTTATCTGAAAGGAACCTTGCTGTCTTATGTATAAATACTTCAATTAGTTCTCAGTTGTTTTCAATAATGCTTCTTTGAAGCAAGCATATCTTTTTCATAGGCAGATCTCAAGCTTTCTGGTTTATTTGACTTACTTTTTGGGTTGGACTTTGTATTGCACACCATTTTATATACCAAGAATAAAACTATATTTATTTTACAGCATGATGATCAACGACAAATCTCTTCCAACTAAAAAGAGCACAATAAATACGTGTTGAACCTTACTTATTTGTGCCACAACACTTCAAATCTTGTTCATAATTGGGTATCAAATCAATAAAGCCGAGATTATCTGTGTGGATACAAATAAATAAGACAAATATAATCAGGCACATGAAAATATGAAAAAAATTGTCAACAATGTCAGGACCAAGGAGCTACAGCAAATGACATGAGACAGATGTTGCAGATTTGTAGACAAGAACAGCACCATTGGCCCCACGATTTGTCACTGACACCTAAGATTCCTACTCCAGCTTTTGACATGAGAATTACCAAAGTGATTTCCCCTCGTGGCTGGGGAAATCTTTTCTTATTATTATAGGTTACATCAGCAATGCACATTTAGATTCTTGGATTTTCCTAGAAGTTACATGGCGCTTTGCAGAGAAAGAAAAGGAGTATATGTTACCCTCTAAATTTTACCATTACCAACTTGATAATTAAACATAATTCACTCAATTCTTTTCAATGGCAGCTCTATTGGTTGACCAGAACTTACTAAGCATTTTTTTTGGTTGGGTTGGAATAGCACATATAGTCTTAAATCTAGAATTCCTTCCAATTCCATCATGGGTTAAACCATTTTGATTGAAGTCATCATCTTCAGCTAGCTTCATCCTCAGAGTTGAGGACCTTGACTTTGGTGATTTGAAGTTTGTAACACTCCAATTGTCCTCAGCATGTATACTTGTAGTTGTGCTTAATGGTGCTGTAGGTTTTAATGGGTCAATACCATGTGCAGTGAGTAATGCCTTGATATTGGTTGGCAAATCAGTCACTTTGCCACCAGCTTGGGCTGCTCGAGCTTGCTCAAAGAAGAGAACTTGAACAACAACCCGTAGGGGAAGTAGCTCATTTTGTGCTGCATGCATGCAGGCTTCCATAGACAATTTTTTGCAGTCAAGAATTCTACACAATCTTTTCCTTTCACTCTTGTTGAGTTCTGGATGAGCCTGTATTGTTGTCATCAGTTAAACCACACATAAATTTCAGTAAACAAGACATCCCCACATAATAATTTTACTTATAATTCTTTCTTTTATGGCGTAATTTCTAGTAGTACTATATTGACTGAATTGACAGCCAGACATGTTACATCAATCATGAGTTCTTTGAGGTGGAAGTTAGCTAAATGGGAAGAAGGCATAAGTGGTCAAAATCTCTCAGGGAAGACACAAAATCAATTATGTGAAGGACTAAATAACAGGTATCTCCTTTTCCCCTTATCCCTATCTATTTGGACATAGTGCTGGGCAGTAATATGATATAAGTCCATCACACATGGCAATTTTCTCTTCCTGTTTTCAGCCAAATGAAATTACAACACCTGAATACATACTGCAACATATCAGTCAGAATGTGGATACAGTAAGGCTAAATTTCTGGTGGGTCAGTCTACACCTAACCGCCAATAAAATTTGAATAAGACAAGATTTTGAGGTCAAGAAAGTTGGTTATCCACTAATTCTGTCCCACATCCTAAAATCTGAAAATGAAATATTTTCTCAGCCACTGTTTTTTACTGACTTTTAGCTACTTATTTTTATCATGGGTATTATAAAATATATAATGTAGTAAATTGGAAAACACAGTAGGCATTTTTTTTCCTATAGTTTTACCTTCAGATAGATGTCAATAGCTCGGTAGAGATCATCGTGATCATGTCTTGCAAAATCTGGTATAATCTCAGCAAGAGCTATGAATTTCGACAAGTGAAAATTCGCATCTCTGGCAACTTCTTGAAGATACCTATCCACAAGCTTTGCCACCTTCAATTTTGAACTGTGAGATGCTGAAGAGGACCTCCTACTCTCTTGAAATTCCAAGTTAATATTCTCTGCTGAACGAGACCTCCTTCTTTCAAAGGCCATCCTAGATCTCGCAGGGCTAGTTGGGGGACTCTGCCCTTGTGACATAAACTGTTCTAATATGCTCATCACCAACTCAACATCATACACTGTATCATTTGTGTAAGACAGTGAAGGTATCAAAAGATCATTCACTGAGGCTTCTTCCAATTGAAGCCCAACCCTTCTTGCTAATTCCATCTTTGAAGATGAAGAAGCATTAAGAATGTTAGATGCCTTCAAGAGCTTCAAAAGAAAGCCACAAGAAACAGCACCTTTCCCAGCTGGAAGCAAGCTCACCACTGATTCCAAAAGCAGACGATGCTTTGAAGCTATTTCACCAACTGACTCCAATTCTGAGTCAGAAACTGCGTGCTTCTTGAGATGTCCTCCCTTGTTGGTAATATTTGGTAGCCACCTAGATGCATAGATTTTCAATGCATCTCCAATGAGATTTGAGGGAATCTTGCCTCCAGATTTGATTGCTATCATGGTTCTCCAATACAGGTCTATGCTCAGTTCTGCCAAATCTTCAGCCCACCATCCCTTGTTTCCTGACTTATTGTGCCTCAAACTTTCTGTGCCATTGCAAGACACATCATCCTTCACCCTTCTGGAATGACTTTGTGACAAACTCACCTTAGAGGGGTGGCTCAATACTTTTGCTGCAACAGCTTCAATACACCTGCTGGTAATTCCCAAGTCTTCTGACCACATGGGCAACGCTTTTGTGGTCTGAAGACTCACAATAGTATCCTTCCACCCACGTAGAATGCATGAGTTGAAGAAAACCTCAAGCTTCTGAACTAGGTTCCCCTTCTCAACCTCCTCCGTCATCTGAAGATACTCAGCACCACATCGAGCAGCCACAATGTTGTAAGGGCTCAGAGTGATGGTGATTCCATAGCAGAACTTAGCACACAACTCAAATGCCTCCACCCCACCTGGAAAATCAGGGAGTTGGACTATTTGGTGCTGAGAAGAAGAATCAGGAGATTCTGAACATAACCTTTGTAGTCTCAAACATTTGGATAGCAAGGGAAACTGAACAACATCACCGTGAACTTCAGAATCGGCAACAAAAAAAAAAAAAAAAATTGGAACAATTTCTTTCATTCACAATTTCACATACCTTGTGAAGTAGATATCTACTTCCCTTCACTTGAATTATGAGGTCGCTGGAAACTTCAGAAGAGACTGACCTGCATACAAGGAAAGGTATATTGTTACCGACCAGGAAAAGAAAATCATCTATGAAAGAATAAAATAGGTGAGTTAATTAATGTCTTACCTTACTGCTTCCGCAGTGTAGAATGTATCAGGACGAGATCCCAGTTTCATGAATTTCATGGCTTTCAGTTTCTTATCACCAAAATCCTATGTTATTTCTCAGTAGCTACTTGCATAATTCACTCTCAGAAGCACACAGAACAACACAGAAGAAGTGCAACTAAGAGATGGTGAAATACTAGTAAGTTCCGAACAAATACCAAAGCAAGGAATAGATTTTCCCGCTGAGGAAGCCCAAGTGGAACACTGAATACTGAGCCGACAGACCTTACAGGGTGTCAGAGTCCTCAAGAATACTTCAGAACTCTCAGAAATATAAAAAGAGAAATAATAAAAAAGATAGAATTTCCTTGGAGGAGAGAAGGTGTAGAAGTTCCAAGAGGAAAGGAAAACCAAGGGGCTTATTGTGAGAGCAAAATAATATATAGTAGTTTAAATAGGTAGGGTAGATGACATATATGGCTTGAAAGAAACACTGAAGATCAAAGACGCCTAAGTTATGTCCTTTCAGTCAAATAGTTATTCCCATGAGTGATTTCGACATTTAAAATAAAAGGGTTTGAGGGCAATGGAATCTCATCAAGTTCAGCCTCAGACTTGTCACACTTATACACAAAGTTAAGCAGTAAAGTAAAATATACAGCACACGTAACTTAGCATCTCCACAACCATACATAATTCAAACCAATGGAAAATAAATTAAAAATAAACTAAGACAGTTATTCTAAAAAATAAGAAAATCATTTTTCTAATAAGAATAAAGATAAATAAATCACAGTGCTAAATATTTCACAAATAAAATAAGGAATGGTTGAGAGTTCAGATAAGGAGAGCATGTGGATACTCTCCCAATGCAGAAACTGCCAATCATTCATCGAAAAATTCGAACCGTATAAGGAAAAGCAGGGAATTTTTATTTGCAGCAAATCTTGCTTTGTTATTTCTAAGAAGAATATGATGTTAGCGGATTTATTTTGTGCAACTACGGAGACATGCCATTGGTAGCGTGCAATTCTAAAGGCAACTCCCACGTGCTTATCCTGCGCCAACCTCTGTTCCGTATTCTCATCATTACCATTGCAAAATGCAATTTTTCTATTTATCCTCAGTTTCTTGTGCTCATAAATGTGAACATCCCCCATTATTTTAGTCAAACACTATTTTATTTTATACTCAACATCGTACACACTTTGATATTTCCATCCTTTTCAAAGGAAGAATATTTAGGAGATGTTTTACGCACAATAGTAATAAATTAAAAGGTGCTTAAAATATTTCAGATAATGAAAAAGAGAAAAGAGAATGACGTGAAAAGTTACAAAAAATGTTGAAAAGGTTGGCATGTGTATTATCAGTATTACACATTATTAGCGGATAGAGTCCGTGTATAAACATAGTTTCAGATTATGTTTATACTGTGTAGTATTAATATTGTATGGCATGGATGAAGATTGCCCTTATGCTCTTCCATAAATAACCCAACTGCCACTATTGATCTCTCGGAAGTTTTCTCTTTACTTTGGGATGAACATTAATTTTCATTGATTGCAAGTGGTCCAGAATATTGAAACTTGGCCCATTGTTGGAGTGAAACCAAGAAAGCCGAGGTTGTATGCTCCTGATCATGTTGGTGTTTGATTAGGTCAAGTCAAGTTTTTCTGGTGGACATTTAAGGATTTGATGCTCTAATGGGCATTTCTGGGTTAATTTGGCAGTTGAGGGTCTTGTTCAAACTTTGTTTGGCTTTGGCTTCTCACTAAGCAAAGACTTGGGAGTTTGTGACATTTGTGGAACTCTTTCTCTCAGTTTGATGATCATATCCACTGTTCAGGACACAATGAGACCGAGTGTGTGGGCCCCGATTATTGATAGAAAGAAAGAAATACAGTGACATGTGACCGTGTGACATTTTTCCTCATAGCTAATTCTACAAATAAAACAATAATAATGTTCTCCGTTTATTTCTTTTTTTCACCATATTTTCTATAACACGAGAAGAGATAAAGGATATAAGAGACTGCGAAGTTAGATGATAATGTAATTGCCCCAACAACAAAAACACTGTCCCGAGATTGATCTACAGATGGTTTACAACCCAACTTATGAATGTGTTTTAAGCAAAATTTTATATTTGAATTTAATGTTAGTTTCTCCACTACGATACATCACCACCACTTAAATGTGTTATAAATTTAATGTTCTCCAATACTCTGATAGTTGTTTTTCACTCAACTTAAATACAGGATTTATTTATAATTATGTATTTTATTTTTTCTTAGTTTTCATACATAATTTTTTAATTGCCTTTTTAGAATATTCTTAGATCTATGATATTTTTATATTTCAGGAAACAATTATCATATAATTTAAGTTTTATCACTAATATACGACTTTATTTTCTTTTCTAATCCACTTTCACACTTTCTAATTTATCTTTATAGGCATACTCTTATGTTCAAATTTATGATATGCTTTCTTTTTAGGTAAGTTTTGTTAAGTTCTTTCTACAAACAGTGAAAAAATAAACAATTAGCGCACTAGGTTATATTATTTTTTAATTATTTTTAAATATACAGAGAAAGACGACAAAAATGATTTATTTTAAGGATAAGAGTTAGAGTTTTTTTTTTTAATTTAAAGATTAAGATAAATTATTATTTTAAACAATTAGATTAAAAAAACCTCTAATTTTTTACCATATATATATATATATGATTATATATTCATTATTATAATATAAAGTTAATTATAAGAGAAATTAACACTCAGTTAATATATTAAAAAACTGGATTCTTTTCTTAATATATATGCATTGTATGAAATATTATTAACAATACTAGTGATAGTTGCTAATGTGGAAAGAATTTTTTTGACATTTAAGTTACTTAAATCTTATTTGGGATTAATAATACTACAATATATCTTAAATATAATCCAACTTTCTCTTAGGAGTAAAATATTATAATTACTTAATTATTTTGATAAGTTGATTTCGCAGTTAACAAAGTTACAAGATTAGTACATGGATAGAAAATTTGTTTTACATAAAATTTATAATAAAGAAAAAACTTTAGATCCCAAATCTACTATACACTTCCTATTTCCCACCTCTTTTGCAAAGGTGGTTTACATTTTAATTAGAATTACAAATATTTTACTTTATTTTCAATTAAATTTTTGTCTAGAATAGTGAGAAATTACATAATGGGATGACACTTTTTCGATGAGATAGGGATAAGCTTCTTTAAATTGTGTTGAATTTATCTGAACTAAACTGATTAAATTGTCTTGACTAAGCGGAATTATAAGTTATTAAATTAAAAAAAATGCATTTTAGAGTGATTCAAATTGTTTTGATTTCCTCAAATTGTAATGTATTTTAACTCAGTTCATCCGAATAATAATACAATTTTTTATATGAACTATTTTTAGCGTTGAATACGGCAAGAAAAATCAAAATTATCGATGAACAAAATTCATCGATAAATAAGAAAATCTATCGATAAATACATATTACTTACGAATCTTTTGAAATCTCCTCCGTTTCTTTATATTATATTATTATTCATTTTTCCTCTTTTATATTTTTTAGAATTTTAAATTATAATTTAGATTAAGAGAATTGTCACTGATAGGATTCAAACCTAATACCTAAAAGTTTGAGGTCGACTCACTAGGCTACCGTAAATTTTCAATTATAGTTTATAATAAATTATATTTATATACAAATAAATGTATATTCATATAAATATATAAATATAATATATTTATATATTTATATTTATATTTATATTTTTATATATTTTTATATTTATACATTTTTATATTTTTATATTTATATATTTTTATATATTTATATATAATTAAATATTTATTTTTTAAAATTATTTAATTTAATAAATTATTATAAATTAATCTAATTATGATTAAATTAATTTATTAAATAGAAAAAGTATTTAATTTTTTAATTATGTAAATAATTAATTTATTAAAATATATTTAAATGAAGTAATTATTATATAATTTTATCGATTTAATTTACCGACAGATATATCTGTCAATAAATAATTATTAATTTATTGACGGATATCCGTCTGTAAGACCAAATTCTACATTCCATTGTTAATTTCCATCGATAATAACTACTTTTCCGACAGTTAATCGGTAAAAATTCGCGATTTTCTTGTAATTAATTCAATTTAGTTATAATTCATTTTTTTAAACTCTTTTGTCATATATATGATGTAAAAGAAAAATATGTTAAAATTGAGATTTGATAGTTTCCTGGGAACATATATGTGCCAATGTATTCACACTCAATAAATGTAAATATGTATGATATTTTGAAAGAAGGTGATAAATAGAGCTTATTTTTTTATTTTGAAAAAAATGTTAAGATATTTATTGAGAATTGAAAGAGACGTTTGGGAATGAGGAAGAAGGTTAGGCATGGAAATATGCAAATGGTTGTGATTATATAAGATAATAGGTATCTCAGTTTATAGCTGACAATTTATACGCTCAAATACTAAATTATGTAGTAAAAGGTTTAAAGTAATACAAACTTTATAGAAGGAGAAAAACAAATTGTTCCGATGATATGAAATATCGTTATTCTCAGCTGACATGGTCATATTTTTTTTTTAATGTATTAAACAGTTATTTCATAGCCAATATGACATGGTCTAGATTTTTTTTTTTTACGTAATCTAATGTTATTTCTTGGTCAATATTGGTATGATTATTTTTTCGATTAAGGTTAGCTAGTTTTTTTATTATTATTATTATTAGTTAGAGTTTTTTTTTTATTGATGAGAATGATATTATTTATTTATTTATCAATGTTAACTAGAGTTAGCTTTTTCATTTATTTACTATTATTATTATTATTATGAAAATGAGTTATTAAACGTACAGATTTTCAGTTAGTGTTAATAAAGTTTTTTCCGTTAACAACGTGTTAGCTTTGTCGTGAATGCCAATGTTAACTTAACTTTTTGGTTGACGATACTTGGAGTTTCTGGGGTAATATGGATGATGACGTTAGCTGAAATCATAAT